TGCATCAAACTTGTAAAGAGATTGGAGTTTAAAGTTGTTTTGTTGTGGGGATAAAGACATTTTTTGCCTTCAGGAACAGTAACACATTTACTACGTGGGAAACGTAAGCCTGATGAGCACTTAACTATTCATTTCCTTATTTGTAAGTGCTTGGGTTTTGTAAATGATGTGGAAGATAAGTGTGCTGCTGTCACTTAGCAACCCTATCTGGTTCGGGAACAAAATGTTTTGCTATTGGAATCTGTGCGGTACAGCTGCAAAGCATTCTTGACTGGGTAGTAGCAGGGGCAGCTAGGTTTTTAAGATGATTGGTGCAATTAAAGTTATGTTTTCCTGATATTGTATTTGTGAGATGTGTTTGTGCCAATATGTGTGACGGTTAAGATTTTGTTGTCTGCCACATTGTTTGTCTGTTGTGACCATTTATCTAAGTAAACATTTCCAAATGGTCTCAATAAAGTAAAATTATGTTCTACATTAATGATATAAAATAATTTCTGCCTGAAATGATTTGTGCTATTGCACTTTTCAATATTCTAGTATCAGTCATGTATAAACCTACTGAGAGGTTACATTAGCATCCCTGGAGGAGGAGAAGCCAAATGCTTCAGTGTCTAAAGATTTCCTGACTTATTGCTTCTGAATGATGATGGCATTTGTTAATGTAGCTCTTAATGAATGATAGCATGATGAGTGTAATTAGAACACATCTTTCTTTTTTAAACACTCTGTTTTTGCTGAGATTAAAAATACTGTCAAGTAATTGTACTTCTTGAATGCAAAATGAAATTCACTCTGTTCCTCATCCACCTGCTAGTAAGTCAGGAAGGCAAGTTGAGGCCATGTTTTCAGCCTTATTAAGATGATGATAACTTCAGTTATTCTGTGGGCTTTTGGTGGACTGTAGCTTTGACTATATATATTCTATGGTTTTTGTTGGTGCATCTTTTTATTGCTTGTCCATGATAAGCAAAGAATCATGCTCACAATCATGAAGGTACAGTTTGAAAGCTAAGTGATTTTAACTATAGTAATTTCAACTAGGGAACTGCACAATCATCATTTTTGCTTAAAAGATTAAGCCAGCTAAACAAGATAGAAGATTACTTTCTATTTTCCTCATTTAAAAGGATCTTATTAAAGTAAAAACCTTCTTACGAGCACTTTTGGCTGCAGGAAGAATGAGAGCAATCCATCGCAGTCACTGGAAAAGGGTGCACCTCTCCCCTGTCCTAGAAGCCGTTTACTCTTTGTGAAAATTACCTCAAGGAATAAAAATGTAATCACCTCACGTTTCTCCAATCTTGTTTATTGCTGTCAAGTTCAAGTTGTGTTGCTGTCTTTCATGATGTGAACATAGGACTAAAGGAACACAGGCATACTTATTTTCTAGTTTATTGCAGTATACACGTGTAGTTACCGTGGGCTACAACTGCCTGGGTGCTACCAATGAATTTTTGAAGTTCCCCTTGTTCGCAATTAAGACACTGGAATCTCTCCTGTTGACTCCTGGACATTAATATTTCTAAACCGTTGGTAAAGATGATAGTCGCGTTTGTTTAGTTGTGTTACAAAGCAGTAATAGACTGCAGTCACTCAGATCTGGAACTATAACTGGTTCTCTGAATTTGAACTGTTGTGTACTTTCATGGGAAACTCAATTGTAATTTACTTGTACTACTTCATGTAAGCCAACATGCTGGTTCAAAGCCTAATTCAGACTTAGATGCAAAGAGGAACAGCAGAATCCCACATCTGCTTTGGCTATCCAACCATTGCATTCCATATCTAGAGATGTTCTTAGTGGAAATATTCTGGTTATTTAAAAGATGACTGATGAAAAGCTAAGAACTAAGATATGAAATGTCACTGCTCATCCCCGGGTAAACAAGATCATTCCTGACTTCTAAAAATGAGTCTGATAATTTCTGCAAGGACATTAAGGTCTGAATCGACATACCTATTTTGTTTTCGGTAGACCCATCCTGATTTATCCTGACTGAAAGAACATGGTTTGCAGTAACTTCATGTATACGTAATAGACATTTTGCACAATTGTAGGTGGAGAGATGACAGGAGTGTACTGAATGCAGTGAAAAGGTTCCCGTTTACTGCAGGAATTCACTTTGAATTAGACCCTGACCTGTAAGCACTTTATATGTAGGCTTTAGCTCACTACTTCAGGTTCACTGACATCACTGGAACTGCTCAGGGAAGTAAAGTTAAGCATGTACATTATTCACAGGCTTTGGACTGTAAAAAAATCTCTTTTCTCTCCCCTGCATATATATGTGCACATTAGTATTCTCTCTCCTTAAATATGAAAAACCTAACTTTTGCTAGGTATTTCTCTTTCTCAGTGAAGAATGTGCGTTTAATGCAGAGCATGCTAATTTCTGTAACTCTATAGCATAGCTAATAGATCAATAAAATTTCAATAGAAAATATCATGCTTTTTGTGTAAAGAGCAACATATGATTTAATGGGTGACTTTGGCCTTGAGTTTCCTCCTTGCAGTGCTGCCTTAGGTCTGCTGTGCGTTCTGAAATGCAAAAAAACCCTATGTCTTTGCATGCAGTGGAAACCGTACTGCGTTTTAAAGAGTACCTTGCAGAAGGTCTTCTCCTCTGGAGCAGTGTTGAGTTCAATTTGTTTGACACATCCTCTCTGATGTAATGCAGCTTGAAAGGAGATTAAATGAAGAATGAGTTTTGCTTTCCAGTTATTAGCTCTAAATATGGCTTTTTATTTTTGTCTTTAGTAACGGCCATTGTAGTAATATGCTAAGGATATCTTGAAATTTTCATTTACTATAAAAAACATCGTATTTGCATTGGTGGGATTTGTTTTACTGATCTTGTTTTGTACTATTACTGTTCAAGCAATTTAGCTTGACTGATCAGGTTAAAATAGATGGCATTTGAATGTTATTTGATGCTAATTCCCTATGAGCCTCCAGTAAGTTTCTGGGTAAAGTCCAATATGCTGTGTTTAACTTTTATGTTGTTCACAGTTTTAACTCTTAAATAATTTGGGTCCATTTCTATTTTAGACAGAAAAGGCCTAATTAATCTAGCTAGCATAGCAGTTTAGGAAGTTACTGCCATTAGGCTTCTACACGAAAGATTGCTGCCAAGGCAACAAAGCCAGAAAAATGATATGCGTTAGGGTGCATATGTTTACACTACGGTGGTGTGGTACAAAGTCTGCACACCTTCCTCTGCAGTTTAAAATGAGCCACTGTACTGAAGCAGTTCAGGTAGGGGCACGTATTCTATTGTGATTACACCTGCTAGCAGATAGGCATTAACAAAAACTGGTAACGGCAATATCTTAGATCACTAAAACGGTTGACTAAGAAAGCACGGATTTGCTTTTCTTCTTTTCTTACCCTCTCTTTTCAGCTGATATTTGTAATGTCATAGCAGCAGATGCCATTAAGCAAAACCAAAAAGATTGCTTTTGGCGAGAGTTGTCTGGTGTATTTAAACTATGCAGCGCTCCCCTGTTTTGGTCAGAATCCAGATTTGCAGACTTCCTTAGTAAATTGAAAATAAATTAGTAGGTCACATGCGGAAGGCTAGCAAGTAACTTGTGAGACTTTATGGATCTCCCGATGTTTGCTCTCTTTATATGCTGGCAGTTACAAGAGTTGGCTCAAGTTTGCTTTCACATACTAGCTTCTTTAAATGTGTATGTAAAGATTTGACTATTATTTCAGGGATAACCAGGCCAGTTTGATGCCACCAGATGAAAATAAGTCAGCAAGATTTGAATAAGAAATAACCTGAGACCACTGTACTTCAGAAAACGTTTTTGAGCCATTATTTAACTAGTCAGGTAACTGTGTAGTATGTCTAATAATGTGTGACTTTATGGCTCATCAAAATGCAATAACTTGTCCTGTTTGACCCTGGCATAATAAAGCTGTCTTATGTTGCTACTTAAATATCACAGCGAAAGCAAGGTGTTTCATCAAGAGGCTTCAGTCAGTTGATGATATTGTTAAACTGGCTTTTACTGGTATGTTAAAGGTGATGAGAGAATTCTTTTGAAATGTTAGTCTTAGTGAGGAAAAGGGATTTTTACAATTTAAAGTTTAGAGGTCTGCAGCAGATACCTGCCTACCTAAGAACCGCTAATGATAATAAAATTCCAAACACCTTTAACTAAGAGGGAATCTGTCTTTCAGCTTATGTGCTTTAGATTTAGTTTCTGATGAGGTTGTGCGGGAGACAGACGCCCTTTCACTCCTGTGGGATTTTTACTCTTTATTTTCATTCAAACTTATGTACGAGTACCTAAGTCATCTTGGCAGCAGGACATTGCTTCACTGAATAGTCATGTGAATCTTAAAGCTGAAAGTGGAAGACAGATGACAAAAACTAAATAGCATGTGCATCAGTCTTTCAGGTTGTCATGAAATGATGCTACTAGTGGCTTTATCTATAGTGAGTTTCTTCTTACTCTTCTTCACAATATGGGACAAGATACCATTCCTCCTGTCTACTGGTCTAACTCTACAGAGGAAAAGTCATTGTTAAATGCAGATAAAGTCGTACAAATCGTAACCATGCTACTCTACATAGGGATTTTTGCGAAGAGAAATTATGTTATGGATGTGACCAGTATGTCTACTTCATCTCTTCTGTGATTTTTTTGTGAGTACAAAGAAGATAGGCTGCACAACAGGACTGATTGGTGTGGCATGGTCCGGTCCATAAGTGAAGCACTTCCTGGGAAATGGTTTGTGGGCTAGTGGTGTACAATATTTCATTGTGACAAAAAAGTATTTACTAGATGCCAGAAGGTTCAAGAACCAGGTATAGCTGGAACAAAAGAGCAGTTGCTGTTTCTGCCCATATAGACAAACCTCAAATTAGCATACTTAGTCCCCAGTAATGATGTAATTCTGATTTTGATATCTGTCACATTTCAGCATTGCTTGAAGCATTTGGTTTAAAAATGCCTCATCATGACGCTGCTTTTCCTTTCATCAGAGACCAGCAGAAACTGTGGATGAAGAAGAAAATGCAGAAGAAGAAAAAGACAGGGAAGAGGAGGCCTATAAAGGAAGGGAAGAATATCCAGAAGTGAATAGAAAGGAAAGTGGGGAAGCCATTACAGAAGAAAGAGAAGTGGAAGAAAATGAGAAAAAGTTAAATGAGAATTATGAAGACAAACCAGAAGAAGGAGAGAACGTTGACCAAGCAGAGGAAGAGGAGCTCACCTATTTAAATGGCAAGACAAATGAAGAAAGTGGTGAGGAAATAGAGCAGCTGAACAATCAAAGTGACCTTCAGCCTGAAGAAGAAATAAAAGAACAAGAGGATTCTGACAGTCAGAACCAGGTAAATGTTTATTCTTTCAAGTTCTGTTCTTAAGGTGTTGTTCCTTATTTGTCTCGGCATTAGACTTCTTTCTCAGCCAGTCTCTAAGTAACTCACTCCTGATAAGGTCCTCAGATTATCTACTAGAACTTAAGTTTTGGGGGAAAGGCTGTTTCCCTTCTGTACAGACCTGTTACATCGGTAATGGTGATATATACCCTCCAACTGAGAAAATATGTTTTTTGCTCTGATAAATCTGCCTATCCTGCTTTCCTGAGTATGCTGAATTTTGAAAAAAACAAAATTATTGTGATGTCTAGAAAAGCATAATCATTATATATTTCCAAACTACATTGTCCTCTAGGATGGAGCAGAAAGGTGAGTTCATGAAACCCCAGTGCCTCGTTATTTTCATGAGTGGATTTTCACAGAAGGTAAGATAAATAAAGGATTTTCGCTGTTGCTTTTGTGGAATTTTCATCTATATTTCTAAAAAGTTGGAAAAGACGTTGGAGATGAACAGGATCTTGAAAACAAGAGGCTTTAGTTGGATTAGAAGCAAATGGCCTGTAATTTAGGAGAGCTGGTAAAATGCTGTTGGTTTACATGGAGGCATGCAGCCCAGAAGAATCAAGCGAACTACCTTGAGTGTCAGGTGAACTGACCAATGGACAGAATTGGGAAGTGAAGTGTTTAGTTTGGTAAAGGCCATGGTAACTTCCTATCTGGATTCTAGAGTATCAGAAGCAGAACAACCTGCTGTGGAACCTTGCCTACAGACTGCTGGAAAAAGATAACGTTCCTCTGCCTCTTGTGGCACGCAGAATAGTTTCTTGCTTCCTTACGGCTGGATTTTTTTCTGTTTCTGTATGACGCACAAGGATACTTTTCAATTAAGTTAACAGAGAGCTGAGTAACATGACATTTTCTTGGGCCCTGAATTTATTCTGTGCTTGATATGTTGATGGAAATTTTTTTTTTTGAGAAATGCTGAAGTTACTATGGAAGTGGAGAAAGTGAGCAAGCTATTCACTTTGGATGTTTGATTAAAGTGGGGGGGAGAACCTTATTTGAGTACTTACCCCTTTGGAAGGTATGTAAGTGTAAGCTAAACAATAATGCTTTTGGAGAATATTTTTTCACTTCAAGAATTCCTCGTGGAAATCTTACAAGGATGTACTAACACTGTATTGAAATGAAATGAAATGACATCTTTGTGACTTCACGAAGTTAATATGATATGGTTTTGATTCCTTTTTCTCTAGGTTGGTTCCCATCATGAAAGAACAACCACAAATCCAAGGGTGACAATCACCAGCCCACAGGAAAGTGAAAAAAATGACCAGACCAATGACTATGCTGCAGTTGCATAGATACAAAAAATGCAATGAGCAGAGAATGAAGGATTGCAATATTTTAAATTTAGAGGGTGTTATTGTTTAGGATTGATAATTTATAATGGCAAGATGAGTACCACATCTTGAGTCTTGAGATGATAATGCTATATGGATTGACATAGATAATGAATATTAATACCTATTAAAAGAGAATTGAATTATTTTTACAAGATGTGACTTTCTGATGGAATTTGAGAGGGGGAAATATAGGACTTCTCTATAGTAATATTATAAATAAATAAACTATTCTGTATTATAAGGTGGTCAACAGTGCTAGAATCAACCATACCTATGACATTGTTCCAAAATGCTTAAAAGGTGGGGGGAAGAACCAACCCTGAGTTAGATGTCAGAACTTCTTTATAGGTTTGTTTAGAAAAGAGATATACTTGTGACTTTTACTGAGAACATGTGTAGTTTTCTTTTAGATTCCACACAATACACGTTTTCCAGGCATAGCATTAGGATATAATGGAATAGGTTCTTCACTCAGTGGACTCATGCACACTAGAAAATGGTGTAATAGAGTGATGAGTCAGTCCTAATGTTACTGAATAGAGGCTTTCCAGTATATTCTTTAGAATCATTAGTATTTGCATTCAAAAATATCACTTACTTAGTACTGTGAATGTATGCAGACAGCCTACAATACCATAGCTTGTTCCCACTTGCAGCAAGAAGCTTTGTTGATTGTCCGTCTGATCCTGAGTCACTAAACGATTTACAGGATTTGGACTATGGAGTAGGACAGCCTATCTCAAAATTAAATCTTGAGACTCATATTCTCTTTCAAAAGTGGGAACGTATCTGAGTGAAGGGCTAACAATTTAATTTACTATTTGTTTTAGTAAAAAAAGAATAAAGGATTACTACCTAGCAGATTAGTTTCAAGAGTTGAGTTTGGACTGATTTGTAATGCAGTCCATGAGAAATTTAATTTATTAATGAAAAAATACTGAATACGTCCAGATCCAGACTGAAACTGTCATGGAATCATTGCTATCAATGGAGCCATTTTAATGTGAAACACATTAGGGTAAGTTTACCAGTTTTGTGTAAAACTCAGCAGCAAGTGCTGTACTTAGGAATCCTTTGTATAACCTTAATTTCTGAAAGTGTGTCATCATCTTTCTGAGTAAGCTGGTTTCTGACAGGCCGTGGCTTAATTTGCATTAGTAAATAAGTCATTGATCCACAGTATTAGTTCTCCTGATGACACCAATCCCATCACTCTTATTGTTTCTCTGTTAGTAATGGCAGTAATTTATAGTTCATAAAAATACAGCCCTGAGCATAATTTCATTAATTATACAAAAGAAAAAGAGGGTTTCTTTATTGTGGATGCTGGTAAATGGTTGCTATGAGAAATTAAGTGTCATTTTTGTTGATTTCATGCCATTAAGGAAAAAAATTACATTCATGAAGAAACTGAACTTGAAGCACTGTTTGAAGAATGTGTAGAACCATGTGTAATGATTGAAACTCATATAAACATCTGCACTTTTTCTAGCAATTATTAAATATATTTTTCCAGTGGAGTAGAAATATGTAGAGATCCTTCAGCATATTTCTGAGTAATGGCAGTGGAAGTATAAAAAATGTAACACTGAAAAACATAGGAACAGGGTTAGGATGGTTTGCCTGTGTCATTAGAACCCTGTGGTAACTCTGAAATATCTGTGATCTTTGTGCCATTTGTCTGACAAAGATATAATGAAATACTACATTTGAGTTCAGTTCAAAACAGGCTCAGAAGAGGTTCAAAATATAGCAAAGTTCTTAAGCAAATATGTATGCAGCTTTTATTTGATGAAGCAATTAAGCCTTTGCTCAAATCTCTTTCATTTCACTGAGATTTAACCAGACACTTAAAATTAAGCAGAAGTAAGAAAGACTAGTATGAATAAAATAACTGTAAGTGCTAGTGAGGAAAATGGCACATAAAAATCCCCTACATACCTTTATAGTTAATCCTGCAGTGGAATAATATATGCAGTAGCATTATAAAAGCTATCAAACAGTGCTTAACCAGCCAGAGAAAGCGGCTTTATCTCCTCAGGGAATATACTCTCTGAACCTTCTGTGTGAAGCCTACCAGGAAAATGGCTAATGTTGTATCTTTTCTCACTTAAAATTGAATAGCTCCTGTGCTTAATAGTAAGCATGGGCTTAAATGCTTTGCTGAATCAAGGCAAATGACAATAATCTTGTATTGACATTACTATGAATGGACTCTTTGCTTGAAGTTAATGTTTGACCAAATATGAGACTCTACTTACAGTCATTGCAGGTTAAGACTTGAACAGTCCATGCAATGTTCTTCATCCTCAGAAGTTTGAAATTAAATGAACATCCAGTAATATCCAAGTGAAGATTTTTTGATGACATATTGCTTTGGAAAACATATTTGCCTCAAAGTTTTGTACCTAGAAATAATACTAAGAAGAAACAGATTTGTATACTGACACTTTTCTCTCTCTTGCTTTCTATTTATAGCTTTTATCTGCCAGTGGTTCCTAGGTGATTTCTTCCCTTTTCCTCAAATGTTCAGTGTCTTCCATGTTTAAAAGACTTATAAATATCAATAAGAGCTATTTGAAAACTTAAACTAAATTCTGGTGAACTGTAATGTAATCAGTCTTTCATGAGGACGTGAAAGTCCCTATGAGTGTTATTCAGCCTTTTAAATGTTTTCTCCTCTGTTGTTCATATTGCGAAGAAGATAGTCTATTTTTCCTCAGAATAACAAATCAGACTTGTTGGAAATAGAGATATAAGCATTTTCATTGCTCACTCTTACAACATTGCAAGCCTGAATGTTGTATCAGGTTCTCTTATTTTATACAGAGAGAATTTTTTTTTTTGTATGACCAATAATTCTGACATTAAGGTAGAAGTTAAACAAGAAGCGTGCAAGTGGTCTTGCTAATAGTCTTTCTGTGTGGATTTGCTGTGTGTGATGGCTTAAAAGTTTTACAGGAGAAATGTTACTTTGTTAAGTTTATATACAGCAGTTCTGAGTTTTTAAAGATTTGTTTTATTGTTTTGGTTTTATTTTTAAAAACAATTTGTTATTAAAGAGAGCTAAGGTCAGTTTGACATTAAGTCTGTCTTTGCATTACTGATTTCAGTTATGAGCCTGGTGCTTTTGAAACTGTTACAATTCTTCTATAATTAGAACTTTATAAAAGTGAAGTTTGGTAGTTACGGTGTTGCAACTGTGACAGAAAATATGCTGACAATTTAGCCATTATCTATGAATAACAGCACAGTTAACTGGCCACCCTTTTTCAATGTTATGGTTCATTAAAAATACTCAATTTAGGACTGGATTTGTCTGTTATGCTGTTCAGCTGATGTTCAACAGTAGCTCTCTCTGCTCCCCGAGAAAACTTTCAAACATCTAGATCTCTCCCTAGTTGGTACAATTTTTACTTAGCTACTGTAGGAGGTGACTTCCCAGTTTCAGCAAAACACTAAAGCATATGCTGAAGTCCAGAAGGTTAGTTCCTGGAAAGAAATGGGTGAAGACAAGGAAAATGTCATCCCCTCTCAATCTCATTGAACAAAAAGAAGAAAAAAAGGAATGAAATGCCGTTAAGCATTCCGATTGCTTGAGAATACTGACAAAGGAGTGTTGCATTGGCTGTTTTGAATGATTATCCCAAAGGTACATTAAAATAACCATGAAATAATAAATGTAAGTACAAAGTGAAGTACCTTGAGTAAGGATAGATTTATTAAATAATAGCAATCAGAATGATTTAATGGGGTGAAGTTGAAGAATGTACTGTTTAGGTGGCACTGAGGGATAGCCTCAGTCTAAGTTCTAGTGAAAAGAAGTGCCCTATGCATGGCAATAGGCAGTGAAACTATCCGACATCACTAGATTATTGCTCATACACGTTTATATATGCATTAAGTTACAGGCCTGTGTGTAACCCAATGCATTTTCTGTGTGCTCACAAGTAATGCACACACATAAATAATGTGCATATGTAATAATGTACTCTTGTTATATTTTTAGTGGTGGGTGAAATATTATTGGTTGCAGGTGAAATTCCCTATAATTATACAAGAAAGTGTCATTAGATCTAGTAATAACTAACCGTATAAAAGAGTGACATATTTTTAAGTTGTGTGCGTGCTCTCGTGCCTTGCTAAGTTCAGAGTGCTTGAAGCCCTGCAGTAAGATGGAAAGAGCAATCTAAAACTAGCTAGGAGCTATGTGGGTCATAAGGACATGGAAAGGAGTTGAAAACTCAAGGAAGAAAGTACCAATCTATACTACAACAGATGATATTAAGAACTTCTAAAGGTCTTTACTACTAAGTACAGTGTTCAGAATATCTGATTTAAACAATGGGATAATTTGAAACAGGCAGCAGACTTAACAACCTAAGCCATGACTATAAAAGCCTGTAAACGTTCACATTTTTCTTGCAGTCATCTACAGCTACAATGATACTTAGTTCTTATATTTGCATTTTTTGTATAAATGAATCCCTTGCTCAATTATAATTTCCCCTTGCCCTCACTGGGACCAAATTCAAAATCTGTATTCAAAATACAGATTTTATTAGTTAAAAGCTTCCACACACTAATCCTTAAAAGGTTTCAAAATCCCTTGTTTGATGTAAACCAGGAGGAATCTGATTCTCCATAAAATGGTGTTTCTGTACATCAAGAACATGCAGATTCATGGTTACAATTAGATTTTTCAGAGGCACAAGTTTCATGCATACTGCTTATGTTGTGAAATCTCTGATTGGTGTCCACCTATTTTAATATTAAAAAAAAAAAAAAAGAATCAAGTCTTCTTCCTTCTGGAAGAATTGTCAGTCTGGGAGCTTACTCTCATATTCCAGGCTCCCCGCCTTTGTGCAGTCGCTGATACGCAGGTGAAGCAGGGGAGGTCAAACTTCTAATCCTTGCTCCCTCTGTAGAATGGTTTTTGAAGGCATTTACTTTTTCCAAACTCCAAAATAAAATGTGAAAAAATGTTGCCCTAGGCTAAAGTCCTCTCCCTAACACCCAAATTTTGCAGTCTCAGCACTGGTGATTTCCAGGAGAACGGTCCTGCTCTGTTCTGGACAGAAAGCACCAACCAGCTAATCAAATCACCTAACTTAAGGCATTTGATCTGAGTGGTTATGCTGGCTCAGTTACTCTAGGTTCTCTAGTTTATGAAGGAAGAATAATTGCCCTCCAGAGGATGATACAAAACGTGAGATTCTGTGCTGAGTCCCCCTTAGTGGACTACGGTTGTAGAGACAGCTTAAGAATTAGCCAAAAAATAGATGATGTGGAAGGATGATGTTCACTTGAGATCCACTTAAAAATTCTCCCTCTTCCAGTCCTAATTTGAAGGAGCTGGCTTTCACAGGAAGGAGAAACTTTGGCACTTGTGAAAGGCCTTCAAGCCTAAATAACACAATACCAAAGTACTGTTGACCCTGTAACAAATTCCAGTGATGTCAGATTAATCGTGTGTTGTGTACAAAGTGTCGTTCCCTCCTGGGCATTGTTCAATTTCCTTTTCGTTGAGAGAGGAAGAAAAGGAGCTCAAAGAGTTGTCTTACAACTGTCCTTGCCAAAAAGTTAGACGGTGTTGTTATTTTTTAAACAAACATGAAATAAAGTATAGTTTGCAAAGGTGGTATGTAAGTAAAAAAAAGTATTGTAAA